TCCCCGAGCTGGGATCAGTGTGTGGACAGAAGGATTGTTTCCATAGGGGTCTTGCACCCTGGCCGGGCTTTCTTACCCTTGTGGTGCAGCAGGATTTGGGCGAGCAGGTAGATGCTCTCCCTGGCCTGGCAGCTGATGTCTGCTGTTGGGTGGCTGAGGGACAGACACAGCTGGGCCGCGGTGTCACCCATCTGGGGCATGCTGGGCGAGTCCTAACAAGGTGGAGAGGGGAAGGGAATGCATCTGCGTCCTACCTTGCATCACACACACACTTTCCCATACTGGGTGTCTCTGTCCATCTCCTCCTGCTGCCCCATGCCGCAGGATAGGTCGGGGCAAAACAGCTAGTGCCAGAGCACTAAAGCCCTCTGTTCCCATCGCAGCCTGGAGCCAAGGGACCCGAGCTGGTTCCCTGGAGGTCTCCCTGCCCTGCTGCTCAGGAAGGCCAGGAACAAATGTGATACTGCCCAGAGCAGGGTGATCACATGGCAGCCTCAAAAGACCCAGGAGGCACCCCTGAGCCCAGGGACCTCTTACCTCAAACTGCGGGAGGAGGGAAACAGCAAAGCGGAAAAGGGCTCTGCTGCTTCTCATGGCCTTCACCCTGTCTAAGGCGTCAGGAGACTGCAGCCAGGATGTCAGGTGCTGTGGGAGAAACAGGGTCAATGGCCACTGGCCCCTGCAGTACCCACGAGCCCATGCCCTTCCTCTGCCTCGAGCCTATCTGGGAGTTTGGAGGATCTGCTGCATGGTCCGAGGCTCTGAAAAGAGCTCTCCAGGCCTGGTACAGACCATGCAGACACCTCAGGACAAACCTGTCTCTCTCCTGACAGGGCAGGGATGCATCCCTGAGGACAGCCTTGGGCAGCTCACAGAGCACTGAGGCTGTCCAGCTCCTCCGCACTGTGCTCACCTCCCAAAGGAACTGCAGCCTGTCCAAGCTGGGTGCGGTGGCCAACAGGCTCCTCAGTATGGCCTCCAGGTCCTCCATGTGCTTCTGCTGTTTGGTCTGCAGGGGAAGGAAAGCCAAGGCTCAGTACCATGCAGCCCGGGGCTGCACGTGCCAGGGTCTGGTGGGCAGGACTGTGTAGGGGGAGGAGGACTGACCCTGACATAAAGGCTGTTGTGTCTTGGGGACGTCAGACAGATCTTCAGGGTGGTCTGCAGCAGGCACGACTCCATGGCTGGCTCCAGGGCTGGCTTCAGCTCGCTGTCAGGAGAGAGGAGCCTGTGTGAGCCTGAGCTCTGTGGGGCTGGTGGGGGCACTGCTCTGGGCTGGACGGAGGTGCTGGAGTCGGCACCAGTTGGCAAGAGTGGAAGGAGGAGCTGACATGTGGTTACGACCCATCTGAAGTCTCCCAGCCCATGAGCATCAGGCCTGCAATAGAGCCCCCTCTCCCACTGCCCCTGTGACCCTGCTGCCCTCCTGCAAGACCCCCACAGCTATCCTCTCTTCAAGGCCCTCCTGACACCCCTGGAGGGAAATGCTCTCCAGGCAGGAGAAAGAGGTGCCCATGCTGTATTGTAAAATTGTACAATAGCCACTGGGGGCATGTGATTTGGGTGGGGTGGGCGAGTAACTCCGACCAATGCCAGAGCCAATATTGGGGCTGGAAGTGTTGGGCAGGGGCACCAGTACCTGAGGTTGCAGATGGCAGCTATGCTGTAGCACAGGATCCTGTTTGGCTCTTCATCCTGTGTCACTGTCTCCATCAGGCCCTGCAAGACCCAAAGGACCATGTGAGATTAGGGCCCCACAGGCCACAGGCCCGTCCTGCAGGGGAG